TCATTTCTTATTATCCTTCCTGTCTGGGAGTGGCTGGGGGTGACGTGGTGACATGAAATTATTTTGGTGTTGGTGAGAGAGTCTCTCTTCTTTGTTTTATACCAGGGTCTAATCAAAAGACCTTTAAAAAATAGTTGCATTAAAAAAATCATAATAATAAATTGTTGTTGGCATATAGTTCACATGTTATACAGTTTGATCATTTAATTGTGTTGAGAACTTGTGCAATCATCAACACAATCAATTTCAGAGCATTTTCTTCTTATCTTCATTGTTATTAGCTCCCTGTTTCTACCCCAATCTCCCTGCCATGCCCTGAGCTAATTATTAATCCAGTTACTGTGTCTACAGACTTACCTCTCCTGGATTTTACAGACAGAAAAACATACTAAACACAAATACACAGCAAACTAACAACTGGCGACACAGAGAAAAACCTCAAGTCAAATAAAGGAAAAAGTGTTACAAACCGAAACAACTTCACAACAGGTCAAAAGGAAGAACAAATAAGGGGTTGTGTTTTAACCTAATTGCTATTCACATGCCGAGAATATGGTTGGAGGGGATTCACTGGAGGCTGATCCATGTGGGGCCCTGCAAATTGATTGTGTGCTTCGCTGTTAGAGATACCCTTGGGCAATCTGGGCGTTCATAATGTAAGCTCTGATATCATCCCCTCCTTCAAATTTGGATTTCATTAGTTACGCTCTTTGGCTCACACAGGATGGTGTGCTTCTTCCATGTGGACTTAGTTGACTCCTCATTTAGGCTAGTTGTTGGTTTTTTGGTCTGGTTTTGTTTTGGGGTTTTGTTTTGTTTTGTTTTTTTAGGGTATTTGCTTTAAGGAAAGCCTTTCAGAATGCAGATGCTTTTTTTTTTTTTCTGATAGCTGGTCCCCGTATGGTTTCTTCACCATACTTTGCGATAGCCCTTATATTATCAGTGATCTCTTCTCAAGGTGAATATCAAGTTGGGCCATGTCATAAGAACTAATTTTTCTTAGATTGGGGCTAGAAGTAAGAGTGAGCCCCAAATCCATTTATTTAACTGTGGTTTATATATGTCTCTGGCTCATTTTAGAGACACTAGTATCAATTTATGATAGAGAACCTTATCAATCATCGGGACATAGTGTCATAAATTTAGTCAACGATATAGAATTTAAAATGCTGTCAAGAAAAGGAAATTCTACAAGTAAGTATAGGCTGGCTTTTCAAACCACAGTACGTGAATGGTTGACTTGTACAAATTAAACTCTCAAGTGACTGGATACTGTTTACATGAACAATGGGGGCTGGGGAGATGGCAAAACTTTCAGTGATACTCATTCACAAAGGCAGAACCACATTAATGTATGCCATCAGAAAGTAACGATGACATTGAAATAGGAAGTATATGGTAGTCTCAGGCCACCATTCCTTGGGCATCCTCAAAGCAAGAGATTCGAACCAAAGTCCAATAACCACCAAGTCCATTACCTTGGGACAGCAGACATCTGCTTCTCTCACAGTAAGGCATTTCAGCTTAAGTCCAAGGGCGTAGGTCAGGTCTTTGAATCTTCTACAGGTGAGTTTGTGTTTGAGCCCAGTTCCCTCAGTGGGGTTTGCACATACAATCTTTCTGGCGTGGCCTATGAAGGATGTCGGAGGCCTTGCAAAAGCAGAGTCTAAAGTCACAGTAGTCTACAGCACACAGCCTGGGTCACTCAGGGCTGGATAAAAACTAGGTCAAAAGTAACCAGCATAATACTGGGTGTATTCTCCCCTTGGGTTCTACATAAATATCACTAAGCAGTTTTTCCTGAAGGGAGGTTGTTCCTTCCAGTTTACCCACCAACAGAACTGTAATCATCTTCTCTGAGACACACAGGCCCCTCCTGTCCTCCGTCTGGACTTGATTTTCCAGTAAGTTTCGCGTATCACTTCTGTATGCATGTCTGATGATTTGGGGTGACCTTAGCACAGTGCTGTATGGCAGTAACTGAATGGTCTTCTCCCTGGCCCCCACCCTGAGAAACTGACCCCAGCCTAGGTGAGGTCTCCTCTTTCAAAGTGGGTTTTAAGATGTACCTACAAAGGCGTGGGTGATATGTAGGGCATGGGTGCTGGATAGGCTCTCTACCTTGTTGCTTTGGGAGATCAAATTAGATTGCATGACCTGAGAGCAGAAGCCTGCCTTCAACTTGGTGTGTACCCTTATACGATAGCTGGCCTTTTGTGAGTGACTGACTGTAGGAATCGTGTCTGGGGTCGTGAAGGCTTGTGTTCAAACAAGCAGCCATCTAAGCGAGCAGTCAACTAAGTCCACACGCAAGAAGCTCACCAGCTCGTGTGTCATCCAAAGATGATGACTTAAACATTCCAATATGGTGAAGGGAAACGTATCAGAACTTAAATTGGGAACACCCAATTGGTAGAAGGCTTTGGAGGACAGTGGGAGCCCCAAGCCCATCTGCAGAGTTTCTGGTCAGACTAAGTCCCTGGAAGATCCCCTCTAGCCACGGGCAAGGGTCTCCAGTAGCCTTACTATCAAACAGATCATTGTCATCTTGATTATGCTAGCTAGAACTTGATTCTCAATCAATTGACTTCCCTTTGGACCCAACCTGAATTTGTTCCAGGTGCAAGTATCTCTTGCTTGTTCCATGACAAACATTTCATCCCTGGCTTTAAAAATATTGATGTTGGTCTTTTCTTTCTTAATCATGTTTATCTTTATATTATTATTATCTTATCCTCACCACTTTACTTCGTTTTTGTCTTTTATTGTTTCCGTCCAGTTTTCCAGTTTGTGAAGCACAGAAGGAGTGGATGCATAGAGGTAATTACTGATGCAAGGGTTTATAGGGGACGTATGGGTGGAGGTTGGAAGACAGGGAGGGTGAGGGGATTTGGGGAGTAAGCAATGAATGTGGGAGGTGGGGAGGGGCCACTAGAACTGATTGACTGACTGTGATCACACACTCATTTTGAAGGCAATTTAACCATGAAAAAATGAAAGAAAGAGAATGTTCTAAAATCGATTGTGGTCATGATTGTACAATTCTTCTTAATATGATCGAACTATTGGTTGTATGATATGTGGATTATATGCCAGTAAAACTTGAAAAAAACATGCTGACAGTCAAACCTTAAAAACTGCCTTTACTGTGTTGTATGACTTTAGCAACCAACACATCACCACTGTGCCACCAGGGCACCATTGTTGAATGACTTTAAACAAGTTGCTCCTTTAAAAAAATTTTATAGTGTCATTAATGTATCCAATGATACAGATTTTTGGTGGGTAAAACACTGTTTACCCACCAACAGAAGTGTAATCGCCTTCGAGATATATGTGCTCCCCCACGCCCACGCCCACGCCCCGCCCCCTCCATCTTGACCTGGATTTCCGGTATGTTTCACTTATCTGTGGGAGTGTCCACTGATTTGGGATGACCCTCCTTCCTCTCCTCCCCTCTAGGGAAACTGAGCCCAGCTGAGGGGATGCTCATATCATGGGAGTGAAATGTGGTTCATGAGCGCTAGATATGCTCTCTATCTTGTTGCTTGGGAGATTGGATTAGAAGATTAAAGGACTCCCCTTCCCCCAAAAAAAGAAGAAGATTACAGGACCTGAGAGCAGAGCCTGCCTTGATGGTTATCCTTGTAGAGGTGGACTCATGCAGCAGTTGGCCTTTTGTGACTGATGAACTTCAGTCAGCAGAATGGTTTCCAAGTCCGTCCGTGTCACGAGGTGCTTCGTGGTTTCATCACTGTTTTTCAGGGATGCATAGTATTCCATTGTGTGTCTGTGTCTGTACCACCGTTTCTGTATCCATTCGTCTACTCATGGTCACATGGGCTGGTTCCAGCTACTTGCTATTCTCACTGATGACCCTCACAGCTCTGAGGTTGGTTACATTTAAGTCTCTAATCCATCTTGAGTTCCTTTTTGTGCCCGGTGGTGAGGTATCAGTCCTGTTGAAGAAGCCACCTCCGCTCCTTGGTTCTCAAACTCCTCCTCAGTAAATGCATAGACTTAGACAGCATGCTTTCCTGTCAAACAGTCCACGTGATCGTCATTTAAACACCGAACCACGAGACCCTCTGGTCTGGTGTTCCCTTCTAATCACAAGTGGGGGCCGCTTTTCCCAGCAGCAATCCGGTCCACCAATGGATTTGCTTTCCTAGCTCTTCCTTGATAGCACTACTGCATCTGTTGTCATCTGCCCAGGCTTGTCCTCTTATCAGAAAACTTTCTTTGCTCGGCCTATTGTGGTCCTAACCAAGTCCATGGGTCTCACCCCAGTGCAACCTCTTCCATGAACCTGCCCCGAAACCTCTCGCCCCAGTGGATCGTCATCAAACTGAAGCCCGATTCTATACTCGCAAGGACATGTTGTCATAGTTCCTATGTTAATTATTTCGTCCCAACTACTTTGGACACTAACTCATTCACAGGACACTCTCTCATTCACAGCTCATAAACAACGCGCAGTCTCACCACCTAGCAAGATGGTTCTCATTTCCCTTACAAATGTTGTTCACGCTAGCATACGCTGACTCCGGCCGGCCGGCTGCACTCCGGGAGCTGGCTTATACTGTTTCCACAGGAGTGATATGACCGAGGGACGGGAACACCTGGAGGCTCCGATTTCCCAGCTAGGGTGAAAAGCTGAACAGTGATACTTTGCGCAAGGCAAGCAAGCTTGTACTAGTCAAAACATCATCACAAATAGCTTTAGTAAAGCGGGAGAAAGGGGGGAAAGGCAATCATTTTGTGAGATTCTTAGAACGCAAGCTACACACATATATATATATTCACAACAGCCAGGAGTAAAAGCCATCCTGCAGTGCTGACACCATGCAGCAGGAGCTCCTCCGCTGAGTGAAGGGCTCTCCCCATGGCCTCCCCTAATGAGGAGGACTTGCGTTCAAGTTAAAGAAGGTTGAATTGGAAAGGACAACTCCTTTCGGTCGATCGACCCAGAAACAACGGAGCTAAGAGAGAAGTCACGCTGGGATTCAGAAGGGGGTTTATTGCCGTTGAAGGAAGGAACGTGGTCTTGATCGATCGGCCACGGGGCTCTTCTCGATGCTGGACGCAGGGTCAGCAGAGTTGCCCAGCTTAGAAATCCTTCCCCGCCCTGCTCCTCCTCCCCAGGGATGTGCCAGGGTTCCGGGGACTTCTGCTCTGGGAAAGAGGGGTCCAGGGAACCTGAGCACCCCCTGCTTGGATGAGCGAAGTTGTTAGCAGTTGGGCTCTGTCAGGAAGAATCAATCTGAGGAGAAAGAGGGAAGGAGGAGAGTCATGGGGGGCGGAGGGGGGGGGGCACCTCCTCCTTACAGGCTTCCCCCAGCAGGCAGCCCAACCCTATGGAAGTCAATGTCCTTTTGCTCTGGAAGCATCTGCAAGGCCCCTTGCTACAGCTGCCCACCCCACTCCTCCCTCCCTCCCTCCAAGATCCTACTCCCTGCCACTCCTGTGACCTGCCTCTGCTGTGCACATAACCCAGGCCCCATGCCTGAGGAAGTGTGGGGGGAAGTCAGATGCGCAGGCATTCCCTCCCCTGAAGGCAATCAGTTCCCAGACTGCTGTCTCATCCCACCACAGGGGTGGGCCTGCTCCCTGCCTCTGGGGACAATGGACAGGCTCCTGTAGGAGGGGTTTGCACCCTACTGATAATGTTCCTATGGAGACCCAGAGACCATCCCCTAGACCATCCTCTCATTGCTGTGTAACCTATAGTGCAGCCCCTTCCTGTGACATATGTCTCTACCTGTAATTAGTGGGCTGGCTTGCCCCCAAAAGGTATATAGGTGTGAGTCAGCAATAGAGCGCTCTCTGACTCTGAGCTCCTTGCTGCTCACTCCCTGGTCACTCCCCTCTCCCTTGTTCCCTTCCCCCTCTCTCCACGTGGACCACCAAGCTGGGCTGAGGTGAGCAATGGTACTATGTAACATGCCTGACTGTATTATTGTATTATCTCTCATGCTCTTGATGACTTTAATATAATACTTATATATCTCAACCGTACAATTGTGGATTACTGAACCCAGAAGTAGTATTACTGAACCCGAGTAGTAGTAATAGTAGTAGCAGCAGCGGGTGGGGGCTGGCCCATCACCCCCCAGTGCCAATTTTTAAATTTAATACTACAGAGGAAGGGCTGCCCCACCACGCCTGATGTAGGCTCCACAGCCTCCCCTCCCCGCAGGAGAACCCTAGTCTCCCTACCATTCAAGCACTGCGTCTGGCCCCCATGGCTCACCCCCCACCTGGCATACCGGCCGAGCAGGGCTTCCGGAAGTAGATGAGGAGGACCGTGCCCACAATGATGCCCAGCACGCCCAGGCCAAAGGCCACAGCACACAGCACGTTCTCCAGAAGATCTGAGGGAAGAGCATTTTGGGGCACTGGAAAGGAAGCGGGGAGTAGGTTCGCTAGGAGACCTCGCTGGCGAGCACCCCCACCCCACCCCCGGCCCCAAGACTTTTCAGTTAGAGAAAGACCCCTCCCAGGGGCCGATCCCTTTTTTGCCCGCGAAAGGAGGGCAGCGTCCAGGGACGAGGGTCTCACCCCAAAAGGCAATGGCGGTGTAGCTGTCGATCTCATGGGTCACGATGCAGGAGTAAAGGTCCGAGGGCTCGGGCGTGACGTTTAAGTACGAAAAGGCCTGGAAACCGAGTCCATCCGTCGCGGAGACAAAAGTGGGTCCGGCTCCTTCCACGGAGACCGAATGATGCTGCCAGCTCACGGACAACGAGGGCGGGAAGAGGTTCGTGACAAAGCAGACCAGCGTGTTGGGCTGGCCGTACTCCAGGGGCTTCAGCGCGAACACTTCGGCGACAGGAAACCCTGGTGGGCGTGGAGGGTGAGAGGAAGAAGGTACCTTTGGTTCTGTGGGGGTGGGGGTGCAGCTGGGGCTTGAAAGAACGCTGGTCGGAAAGGCAAAGGTAGATCTGGGGCACTCTGAACTCCGCCGCCCTCCGTGCCTAAGCCCCCCACCTTAGCACCCAATCTCCTACTACCTTCCCTTAAAATGCAGGCAGGTCATCAGTGACTACCTTGCTGAGCACAGTAACTTACGTGCCAATCTTATCAATGAGCAGGCACTAAGTGCTCCCTCTTAAATTCATCAAGCCCAATAAATGGTATGCAATGCCTACTCTGTGCTAAGCACCCTACAACCAAAGCACGGGGTGCAGACCATGACTGACAGAAATATTAAGATCCTAGGGGGGCACCAGGAAACCTAACAATGGGGATGTGGTATGGGGGCTAGCTACCCACCACCCCCACCATTGGCCTAACCTCTGGCCACTGGGATTTGCCCCTCCAGTCGTGGGCCTATTTGCTGTATTAATTGCTTGCATATCTCTGCATCAAGAGAAATGTTGGGTACATCTCTCTGGTCCTTCGCCCAGTCAGCAAACTCAGGCAAGCGAGGCACACGGGTGTTCTGCGCAAAGTCATAGGAGAAAAGCTGGTCTTCGTCATAGGCCTCCGAGAGGCCCAGGCTGGGGCTGCCATCCTGGCAGTACACCGTGTGCAGGAAGGTGTGGTTTTGCAGGTCGTTCGGCCGCACTGGAGTGGGAGCTGCGGATGAGATGGGGGAGGAGGGGTGATAGCTCGTGGAAGTGGAACCGCATCCCTGTGTCTGAGCTTAGAAGACAAAAAAGACAAAAAAGATCTGCCCCGGCAACGGAGGCAGAGCCGGGTGGATCAGTCCTTCCTGTGTTTGTTACAGTGAACCCTCGTTTATCGCGGTTAATTGGTTCTAGACCCTATCGTGATAAATGAAATTCCCGAAGTAGGATTCCTTATTTGTAATCAAATATTTTTGTAGTTAGAGCATAGAGGACCTGAAAAAACACCCCTTTAGTCACCATTACACTCGTAGTACCCAATTTATTCAACGAAAAAGGGAAAATACAGTAAAACATTTTGGACATTACAATTATCATGTATTATTTATTATATTATTTATGGCATCAAGCGTGTACAGTGTGAGCCAATCAGTGGCAGTAATGACAGAGCATGCGCTGTTACGCAAAAACCGCGATAGAGTGAAGCCGCGGAAATCGAAGAGTGAAGTGGCGAGGGTTCACTGTATTTAGAATCCTCCTCCTGGAAGAGGAAATTCGGAGAAGAGCAACTTCTCAACTTCCCCTGCCCATAAAAAAGCCAACGCTTCTACTAGCTACGGTAACAGAGTCCGCGCCGTCATGCTGGCCGTGTGGTTTGGTCACGGTGAGTGGAAAAGGCAAGCGGAGGCTGATCTCTATCCCGAGGACGATGCCGTCATTACCTTCCAGGGACTTGGCCCCAACTCACAGCAACCTCATGCACTGGGAGCCCTAATGCTGTGGTGGTTAGGCATTGGGTTACAATCCGCATGGTGGGCAGTTCAAAACCACCAGCAGCTCTTGTGGGGGTGGGGGGGGGGAGAAGACTGGGCTTTCTACTCCTGTCCACAGTTACTGTCTCAGAAACCCACAGGGGGTCGCTCTGAGTCCCAATTGACTCGCTGGCGGTGAGCGAGCGGTTGTCATCCACAGGATTTCCATTGGCTGATTTTCAAAGGTCCAGCACCAGGCCAGTCTTGGTCTGGAAGCTCTGCTGCAGTGTCCAGCATCGCAGCCACCCACAAGCCTCCAGGGACAGATGAGCACAGGGATTACACTTGGAGAGAGCTGGATCTCCTGCACGAGGCAGGGATTCTGCCAGTGAGCGACCACTGCCCTCATCAAGGGTCCCTTTGTCCACTTCACATAAAGCCACCCTGTGGCCAGATGAGGCCTCTGGGAAGATTCCCTAATCTTAAAAGGGCAGAGGAAGGTCCAGCCATGGCATCCCCAAGCCATAGGTGGCACACACACACACACACACCCCACTGCTGTGGGGTCCATTCTGAAGTTGCTTATAGGGTTTCTGAGGGTATCAATCTTTACCGTAGCACATAACTTCATCTTTCTCCCCCAGAGCGGTTGGTGGGTTTGAACGGCCGACCTCGTGGTTAGCTGTCTCATGCTTCCCTGACAATGTGGCCAGAGGTGCTTCCAGCACCCCAGCACATTGAGATACTCGTCTCCAGTCTTCTCTTGAGCTGTTCCCACTGGCAGCAGATCTCACTGAAAACATCTTCCCTTATCTCAGCCCCTGAGGATTAGGGGAAGTGGGTCCCTAGCTAGAGGAAATCATCCTTATTACTTGAAACGCCCAACCAGCGACTGCCTCTTCCCAATACTCGGAATAACAGACATTTAAAGTCTGAGGGAGCTTTGGAATTCTTCTTCCATTTCCTTAGAGAGAAAGAAATGCGGAGCCGTCAGGCTCAGACGCCTCACCACAGCACAGCGCAGAGGCCGACCCCGATAGACTCGCGGAAATAACAGTGGCTTCTTCAAGTGTTGCTCTACCGCCTTCCAACTGTCACTGGGGACATGCGACGTAAAATCTTTGCTTATCGTTTTCTTCTTCCCTTTTTTTTTTTTTTGGTATTGTAAGCAATTCTATTGTAGAACATGTATAAAATAAAATGTGTCATTTCACCATTTTTAATGGACAATTCAGTGACATCAACTACATCTGCAATTTTATGCATCAATTTCCCAAACTGCTTGGTACAAGAACGAAACCCAAACTCACTGCCATCATCACAGAGACCCTCTGGGACAGGGTACAACTGCCCCCATCGGTTTACTCTTCACAGGAGCGGAAAGCCCTGTGTACCTATCGTGTTCTTCATCTGCAACATAGACACCGTCATTTTGGCTCCAAGAGGTTGTCTTCAATGGAATGAACATGGAGACCATCTCTGGCATTGTGGCCATCCATTAATAGTTGCTCTCTTTCCCAAATCTGCTATCCCGTCCCTTACCTCGCAAGACCTCCCACCACTTTCAAAACCAAGGCTCTTTTCAAATGCGTTGGGCTGGCTCCCTAGGCTCTAACCCCATCAGCACTGAAGTCAAAGGACAGATCTTGTCATACCATCATGGATGGCCCAGGAGTTGGGCAGCAGCCACAAAAGGTGCAGCAGCTGGAGCGGCGCAGCGACCCGGTGCTGGTCATGATCCATATCTTTTCACCACCGTGTGGGTTTGGAGCTACCAACCCGGCAGACCTCCGTCCTGAAACTCCCTCCCCCCGATGGTAGCCTCAGCTCATCCTCTGTCAGCTCACTCCCAATAGTTGCCCTTCTCCTTTTGATTAAACCAATCCCAGACAGATACAGTTGAACATCATCAGTTGCTGGGGAAACACCTGCTGAGAGCAACCTCCCTAAGACTTGGCTCTCTACCAGGCCAGGGTGTGGTGTGTAACTGGGCTTGGTAGGCCAGTGGAGGAATGTGTGCCTCCTGGTGGGGTGCCCTCTTCTGTACCAGACTGTGACTGATACAGGCTCGCTGGACCAGTGCCGCCAAGTGGCAGGGTTCTGCAGTGATTGGAGGTTCCTTTTCCCCTGGCACCCCCTCCGGACGCCCCCGTTCCTCCTTTCTTCTCCCTTGTAGAGCTCCCCGACATTCTTTTTCAGAAAGCTTACTCTCTGTCCAGCATGAGCGCTTCTTCTCGCTGTAGAAATAAATAGGAAACCATGTATAGTGCTAAAAATACAAAGAAAAAGTCAATTCCTGCCTTCAAAGCTTCAGTCTAGTGATACTTCATAATTACATAATAATGTACAATATCCAAAAAGCAACGTGACAAAATGCTTTGGAAAAATTTTAAGAGAATGAGACAATAAAAAGCCCCCAAAACTCACTGCGAACAAGTCGATGTCAAATCATGGCGACCCTCGTGGACAGGGTAGAACTGCCCCGGTGAGTTTCCAAGACTAACTCTTTGCAGGAGTAGAAAGCCCCATCTTTCTCTCAGGTGGTGGGTGGTTTCAAACTGCTGACCTCGAAATTAGCGGCCCAACACATAGGTAGGGCATAATCGGGCTGACTCCTAAGAGTCTCATGGGAAAAGCAATTTCACTAGCAGGGAGACAAGAAGAAAAATAATTCCATAGCAAGGGTAGGCAGATGTATAAATGTCAAAAGATCCTAAACTCCTTAGGAGACTAGACAGTTGGATGCTGTCAAAAGCAACATGGAGGTGGTATCTGACCTCTGACTTCATCAGGGGGTGAGAGAATCAAGCCCCACATCACCCCAAGGCTGATTCCTATGAAGCCAGGATCAGATAAGCCTTCACCTCCTACCTCCCTTACCAGTTCGGACACCAATCCTAGCACAGCACTCTACTTCACGGTTGGGGTCCACAGTTAATTCATGACCACACATAGCTCAAAGACGATTGTGGGACTTATGAGGGAAGTTAACAGGTTACATTCAGGCTAAAAAGTACATAAGGCCCAGTTATTTGGTCTGGACAGCATCTTATTAGCCATGCCTGCCGGCAAGCCTCTCTCCAGTCCTTGATCTCTCAACCACATGGCCTGTTGACCTCTTTCCTTCCTGAGCAGTGCTGTAGAGAGAGCTCTCTTAGCACTGCTGATGAAGGCCCAAAGGACATGCTACTTTGCCATAATCTTCCGTCTGAAGACACCCAGCTCAAGCTCTGGTGGTCAGCAAACCCATCATACCAAAGTAAGTGCCTGGAGGCACCCTATTCCAAATGGCCGCAGGGTTGCTCGCTTAGTGGGCTAGGAAGTCCATTCCTCTGGCCCTTGGTTCTGCTGCTACCACTCAGGAGTCAAAGTTCTCTGTTCCTGGATCGAAGAGGTTCAACACATTGGGATCTCAGGGTCCAAAGGCCATGCTCCATTTCTGGCTCTTCTTGCTTGATAGCAGTGAGATTCCCCCTTCTGCTGCTGAAATACCTCAAAATATTCCCACACTAGAATCCCAAGTTTTTACCATTATAATTAGCTCTGTTAACAATCACTCACAACTAAATCATATAATTCTATCAGCATCTTCCCCCACCTTCTCTTACCCAGACCGATCATCAGGGGAAATTTATTTGGAGGGAGTTATCAAAGCAATGGCTTAAAGAGCCATATTAAATAATTCACTGCATCACAGATGTGAATGTCACGTATACTGCTCAAGCATCTGTCCGGTGTGGTAATTGGGACGCAGAGGAGCAAGATGAGCTAGAGATTCAGGCCGGAGCCAGATTGCATGGGACCCTCGAACGCCACCAGGAGAGTCTGACTTCCGCTTAGCAGCTGGTCCCTCGCTGCCATAAGGTTCCTTCCCATTCAGCGAGGTGCCATAATTCAGTGCGATGGCTACACGCACTCACAAACCACACGCGCAGCTACGGGCTTTCTCAGGGAAGTCAACAGGTTACCTGAAATCAAGAGCAGAGAACACGACGGTTAGTCTTTTGTTAGTTTTCCTCGCAGCAGCACCTCTTCTCGGCCATTCTGGCCGGCACATGGTCCTCTGGCCTCAGCCTTGTTTGGTGCGAAGGCCATTGCTCTGCCTGGAAACAATGGAGCTATTCCTCTGCTCTGCCTCCTTGTCTCAGCGTGGTTCCTCTGCTCTCTCTTATGGTCTCAGGTGCTGCAGCCTTTGCGGTCGTGGCCCTTCAGACGAGAATCGTGGACACACTCCACTGGTGGATTTTCTTCCTGGGTGGTCACCGGATTCTTCCACCTTGCTCCTGAGATGGCTTCCCCAGTGGAATGACCACATTGGCCCATCCCTTCTACTAAGGTTTACTAAGTTTACATGGTCCCACCCAATCATTTGGCTGGCGTTACAAAGACATGGATAGAAGAGTCATAAGCAGGTAATTTCATGTCCCCACCCTACCATAATAATGTTAGTGAGGGGAATGTTCCGATGTTTCAGGCCATGGACTGGAACTCACGAAGAACTCAGGCAAAACTGCTGGTTAGCCATTTCCCAAGTGGATAATATTGGCCCTGTTTGAGGAGGGCAAGGAGGGGTTCCAGACGTTGAAAAGATCCAGCGGGGCTGCAAATGAGATACCTACACCTTGTCCTAGATTTTCAGCTGTAGGACAAAAGTTTTTAACTACCTGGGAGACACTGAATAATTTTTTTTTAAGGAGGAAACAGGCCAAATAAGTTTGAGGACCTATGAATAAGCTATTACACCAAAATTAAAAGTTGTACACATTTACCACTCTGCCTTGTAGCAATAGAACCATAATTTAACTGAGAAAGTATCAAGGCCTGAATTAAGTCATAAACAGAAGAGATAGAGGGGACAACTATTTTGATTATTCTAAACAAACAAATAAACGCATTGCCATTGAGTGGATTCCGACTTCTAGCGATGCTCTAGGATGGAGAACACTTGCCCCAGAGGGTTTCCAAAGCTATGAATAATTGCAGGAATAGGCTACCACATTTTTCTCCTGTAGAACAGATGGCAGGTTTGAACCACTAACCTATCTTGTAGTAGCCAAGTGTTCTAATCAGCGCCAAGTGCATCACCAGAGCTGTTTAGAAAGTAGAGTCAAAGGGGTTTTACTATTGGTTAGATGAGGGAGGGCAAGGAAGAGGAGCAGTCAAGACATACCTAAGTCTCTAGCTCGAGTGGTTGGATAGGTGGTCAAGGATGGGCTGCATTAAAATAGATGAGAACACCAGAGGGCTGGGTTTGGAAAGGAAGAGAATGAGTTTCGTTTTGTGCATATTACATTTAAGACATCACTGGGAAAACCAGATGGAGGATGGAGGCAATGAAGCATATAGGTGAAGGTATGAGCTGAAGAAGCTAATTTGGGAGTCATCAGCACAAAGGTGGGTGGCATCACAATGTTGACCCAGAGACCAGGGATACAACAAAAGTAGACTGTGCTTCAGGACGGGATGCAAGTCTGCCTGGTCTCAAATCTCAAGCTTCATGCCAGGGATCATCCAGCATCCCTTCAGGAACCCAGATCCACTGTAGGTATTTCAAAACTAAGAATTTCAGATCGAGAACTGGGTACAAAGGCATTAAAAGAATAAGAACCCCTCAGGGCCAACAATGAGAATAGAGATACCAGGAGGATAAGGGGAAGGTGGGGGGGAAAGGGGGGAATCGATCACAAGGATCAACATATAACCCCCTCCCAGGGGGACGAACAACAGAAAAGTGGGAGACAGCGGATGATTTAAGACAGGCATCCTCAAACTATGGCCCGCGGGCCACACGTGGCCCACAGAGGACATTTATCCAGCCCGCCAGGTGTTTTTGCCCCATTTGGTTTTTGACTTCAAAATAAGATATGTGCAGTGTGCATAGGAATTTGTTCATAGTTTTTGTTTTTTTTACTATAGTCCGGCCCTCCAACGGGTCTGAGAGACAGAGAACTGGCCCCCTGTTTAAAAAGTTTGAGGACCCCTGATTTAAGATATGAAAATAATAATCTATATAACTTATCGAGGAGGGGTAGGGAGGGGGGAAATGAGGAGCTGATATCAAGGGCTCAAGTAGAAAGAAAATGCTTTGAAAAAGATGATGACAACCTACGTACAAATGTGCTGGACACAATGGATGATTGTACAGATTGTGATAAGAGCTGTGAGAGCCCCCAATAAAAGTATTTAATTTAAATTAAAAGAAAGAAGACTAAGCAGTGCAAAAGAGAGAAAGAAGGAGGGTAGCTAGAGGTAGAAGTCGGAAAGAATGAAGCCTGGAAACGAGAAGGCACGACGACCCCTGGAGGAGAGCCTCAAGTCTACACCTGGTGCTGCCCTGTAGGAGAAAATGCCACGGTGGGTTCTGGGTTTCTTGAAAAGACTGACTTCTAACAAGTCTGGAATACGTGAGACCAGACTCTGCCAGGAGACTGGAGCCCAGAGCACTTGCTGCGGTGACTTCTCCAGGCGTACCTCTTGAGCGTCACTTGACCGAGCGCCACAGGTGTGGCTTGTTTGCCCTTTTAAACAAATTGAAGGTGGGTGGCAACTCTGCATCGCCTCGGGCTCTTGGTGCCCTGTTTCCCACGTGTGCTCACGTCATGCCTCTGGGCCACCTTTTGGTAATTCTGAACTTTTCCTAATGCTATTGCACACTGGAACATAGTTACAAGGCTACTGCCCAGGGTAACATGACTTTAAGAAACCACAGCTTTTATATGCACTAGAAATATATGTATATTTAAAAATATATTTAAATTATAAAATATATATATATATTTTTTTTTAATTGTGTGCCTCACTTTATTGCCGTGGTCTGGCTGGAACCCGCAATGTCTCTTAGGTGTGGTACATTTGCACTAAGAACTGTCAGAAACTACCATGCTGTGAAAGCCTGTGGTAGTTACATTTGTCAATTTGAGGATTAAGAATGTAGGGGTGGAGTCTAGCCTGTCAGTCAGATCATAGCCAATGAGGCCTCTGTGTGGGCATGGCCTTCTCCTGAGAATTCTGGGAAATCTGGTATTTTCCTCCCTGGAGGTGGGAGACTCTCTGCTCACACCCTGGGAGATATAGCAGCTGACCAGACACATGGACCCACCCTGATGCAGAGACCCCTGCCAGCGCTGAGATGTTTCCAACGCCACTGGATCCAAGGACTTTCTGCCCTCTGGCCTGTGATCTTCTACATCGGCGTCATTGCATGTGTTTCATGAGTCTGAAGGGGACTTTATAGACTGGTATCGGACATATGGGCTAATATCGGACTTATGAACTTGATCTGGACTAGGCTGGGATGTTTTCTCAACGTTCAGTTGCTCTTGTATATAAATCTCTTTCTCATACACATATGTGTGTCCATGGATTTGTTTCTCTTGTCAACCCAGACTCACACAAAGCCTGAGGCAGGATTCTCCTGTTTCTCCGGCCTTCTGATTCCAAGAGATACACACCTTGAAAATTCCTAGGCGGGCCCTGCAGAACCCAGCGTAGGATGCTCGGGGTGGCCCTGACGGACGACAGAGAATAACCAGTGCGCTGCAATACGCCACATTGTAAGAATCGGCATCCAGAAGGCTAAGAGAAGAACAAGGAGGAGGCAGATCTAGATGCGTACAGAGCAGTGTTCCATGGATGAGGGCAAGGTCAGCATGAGCATAGGCTACGGGAAATCAAGGTCAGGCTGCAAAGTGTCCTCGGATTTGGTAATGATGAAATGGTTGGCAAATCTACTGAGAACAGTTTTCAGCGCTGTAGTGGGAGTGGACTCCAGATTGTAGTGGGCTGAGAAGGAAGTGGGAGGTAAAAAGAAACTGTCAGTTTACATGCTTCAAGTTTGACAGAGAAGGGAAAGAGAGAGGCAGACGGCGTGGGGGAAGAGGCAGTGAGAAAGCCCTAATGTGGCAATTAAGTAAACTGAGAAATTAATCTATGTGACCATGGTCCATCACGCTTCTGAGCCTTCCAAAATTCTGTACGTTGATTTTATACAGAAACAAGAAGACCAAAAGCGACCGACCAAAACCAAATAAATAAATAACAAGAACAGTATGGTCTGAGTATTCTAAAATAGGTGTGTGTGTGTGTGTGTGTGTGTGTGTGTGTGTGTGTGTGTGTGTGTCAGAGAGAGAGAGATGAGGGTGGGATACCAGGGTTTGGGAAATACTGTGCTACACTCCAAATACCAGAACATTTTCCCAGTGTTCCCAACTCTGTGAACAAAGTTGAATCAGTATTTCTGAAAGTGGGAACACTCAGGGCCCTCAGGAAATGTATGGCACCAACAGGACTGCAGGGGGAGGTATATGGCACTCAAAACCTAGAGTTCTGTGCCAAAGGTCAGCAAACTTTGTCTCTAAAGAGCCAGAGAATAAACATTTAAGACTTGGCAGATACCCTGCCTCTGTCATGAGCACTCAACGGCAGCCGAGAAAGGTCATTGGCAGCATGTTGGTGAAAGAGCTTGGAGTGGGGAGTGGGGAGGGAGGGAAAATGAGGAGCTGATGCCAGGGGCTTAGGTGGAGAGCAAATGTTTTGAGGAGGAGGAGGGCGATGAATGTACAAATATGCTTGACACCATTGATGTGTGTATGGATTGTGCTAAGAGGTGTATGAGCCCCTAATAAAACGATTAAAAGAGAGAGAGAGAGCTTGGGTTGCTCCTTTCCACCTTGTCTTTCCTCACGGCTCCAGTGCATATCTCCTCGGTGTCCTTTGTGGATGTCTTTCTTTTAGTTACCCTTAAAATGTTGGTGTTCCCTGGAGCTTTGTCCTCACCCCCCTCTCACTTACGAATACTGAAACTTGAATGTCATAGTATCTTCCTGAGCCTCAAAATATATTCTTCTCTTTCTTCTTGTAGCCATTTTCAAAGATGGAAATCACTCTTAGTTCCGAAGTAATACGGAACCCGTTTGGTGGGCTGGATGTTCCTCCCAAGCTAGCGTGCCCTTACTCCTGTTCTATGCACGTGGTCACGATTGAGACAGTAAGCCCACGCTTTAAAGACGAGTCCTTAATTAATACATAGGGATGGCAATTGGCTAAGGAACATCATGTGCCCCACTTACAACAAGGAAGGAAACACTTGGTAGGACTTGGTAAAGAACTTGGTAGTAGGCTTAGGAACGGCTACAGCAGACACCAACTTTGGAGAGAGGAAAAGGTGGTACTTAATACAATTTCATGTCAATTAGATAAAAGAACGAAGGGGTGGGGTTTAGCCTGTCAATCAGGTCACAGCCTGATGCTGCCTCCTGGTGGGGGTGGTCTAATCATGAGGATTCTGGGAATGCTCTCTCTCTCTCCGTGGAGGAGGGCCACACTCTCTTTCTGTCTTGTTTTCCTGTGGACAAACCATGTGGAGCTTTGCTGAGACCTGAGCAAGCCATGCAGTGAAGACCTGCGGAGACAGCCCTGTGATGCTTCCATGGCCACTGGACCCATAATAGTTTTCACCCACCGACCTGTGAACTTCCTGCATCCGGCATCATTGGGCTGGGATGTTTTCTCAGTATACAATTGCTCTTTGATATAAAGCCCTCTCTTACACATGTATGCGTGTCTCTAGATTTGTTTCGCTAGCCCACCCAGTCTAACACAGGGTCCGATTTCTCCAGAGAGAGCCGGGTGTGGACAGGGCCAAAGTCGGTAGAAATAGAACTGCCTGCCACTATAGTAAGCTGTGGTTACCTCTTTGCTCGCCCTTTTGTGATTTCAGCATAAATGAGAAATTTAAAAATGTGTAACTACCCTTCCCTCTGTGCAATCCCTCTTCCTGCCAGGAAACCCCAACCTTCATAAAAGATATCTCAGAAATATCCCCGTAACACTTTTAACACACACACACACACACACACAACAAACCAAACTCATTATCATCTACTCAATCCTGACTCATAGTGACCCAATAGGACAGGGTAGAAGTGCCCTTGTGGGTTTCCGAGACTGTAAATCTTTACAGGAGTAGAAAACGGTTGATGGTCTTGAACTGCTGACCTTACAGTTATTAGCAGCCCAATATTTAACCCACTTCTCCACCAGGGGGTGTAATGATCCTGAGCGACAGAGGAGCAAGGCAGACAGTTCTGCCTCCTGGTAACTCTCAGACCAATTTGGTTGGTAGGCCTCTGACAATTATAGCATAGTGGCTGCAAATCCACTGCCCTATTTCCGCCCCTGCTTCAGAACCAAATTTCTTTAAAAAGTCATGGGTAGCCATGACTTGTCATTGTGAATCTTTAACCTTCAGCAATGAAAATTTTCACCAGTAGCTTTGTGTTGCTAAACCAAAGGGACCTTTTGCAGCCTCTACAAGCGTTAACACTGTTGACCATGCTCGCCTTCCTCAATAGACAGTTCTGTTTTGGCACCCATGGCGACAGCTTCTCCTCTTACTAGTGAGACATCTCCTTCTCAGACTACTTTCTTTTGGCTACCCTTTAAGAATTGGTTTCCCCTAGACGTTTGTCCTCAATCTTTAGTCCTCTTAAACAACAGGCTGCCCTAGACGGTCTCATTTACTCCAACATGCCTTCAGTTATCACCCATTTGCTAATGTCTTCCAAACTCACCTGGTAACATTAGCCATATGCCCAACTGCCTTGACACACTTCTCCTGAGATGTCCTGCAACACCAGTCTGAACTGTGCTCTCCACAAGATAGTACCAAACTCCAAAACTCACGGCCATCGGGTCAATGCTGACTCATAGTCACTCCCTATGGATTTCCGAGACTGTAACTGTTTACAGGAGTAGAAAGCCCAATCTTTCTCCTGAGGAGCAGCTGGTGCTTTTGAACTGCCAGCCAGGCAGATCACAGCCCAACCTGTGATCACTGCTCCACCAGGGTTCCTTATACAAGACAGTAATGTGCTTAAAAACAAAGCAAAGAAACATGTAGATTTTAACAGTTGTAAATGTGTATCTTAAAATTTATCTCCCCATGAATAAAACACTCAAATGTATACATACAATATGTATAGTAAGTTTTATACACCGGTTTGTTATACTGACTGTGTTAATCCGGGTAGACTAGAGAAACACATTCAAAGACACTCATACATGTATAAGGAAGAGCTTTATAGGCAAGAGCAATTGAATAGTGAGAAAATGTCCCAGCCTAGTCCAGATTAAGTCCCTAAGTCCGATATTAGCCCATATGTCCCATACCAATCTATAAGGTCCTCTATAGACTCACAAAACGATGCTGAATGCAGGAAGATCAGAGGCCAGGGATGGACAGTCTTGTGGATCCAGTGGCAGTGTAAGCATCTCAGCACTGGCAGGGATCTCTAAGCGGCTCCTCCAGCTCAGGGCACTAGCGTAGCTCCATGTGTCTTCTCAGCCGGGATGTTTCCCAGGAGTCAGCATGTGTCCCACCTCCAAGGAGCTACTTATCTCCTTAGCGCCTCCTAATGAGGTCATCAAACTGTGACCCGATTGACAGGCTAAACTCCACCCCTTCACTCATAAGCCTCAAATTGGCAACACATTATGTAACTACAACACTGACTAATTTTGGTTGCAAGCTGTATTGATTGCAAGCAATGTAAACCAATGCAGTCTAACTTAAAAGCTTGGGAATTTATTGGAAAGATACTGCGTTAGCTCATGGAATCAAAAGAATTAAATAAGCCAGCTTCAGGAAGGTAGCTAACCTGGAGTAAGCGACAAGGATTGAGTTGCTACTTACATGTCTCATCTACGAAGACCACCATCCTCTATAATTTTTGTGAGTCTCACGTTTGGGAGCGATCATCTGACTGGCTCCACTTGTGCTACTAGGTGTGCTTCCTCGTTAGCTGTGGACAGGTGCAATATTACCCAATGAGAGTTATTCCCATCGGAACCCTTATGGTGTAGTGGTTACATGTTGGGCTGCTAACCACAAGGTAGCTTGTTCAAAACCACCAGCCACTCCATAGGAAAAAGACAGGGCTTTCTGCTCCCACAAAGGACAGAAATCTACAAGGACGGTTCTACCCTGTCCTGTAGGGTTGCTATGAGTTGAAATCAATCCGATGGCAGTGTGTTTGTCTGTTTATTCATTTTGAGAGAGGGTTACTCCCAGAGAAGAAAGAATCGTTAGAAATCAAGCAGCCATATCAAATCAGCTCTTTCCAACCTATGGCATAAACAGAGGATAAATCTGTGATGGTGCACACTCAGCATTTTCTGATTGATTGCTGACATGATATAGGTGTCATTTATTTGGTATTTTCTCATCTATCACATGGCTTGCCATAATTCAAAATGTATTTGTGACATGAACTAATTTTTAAAATCATGTATTTTACCAACTCGTTTTCTTTGGATCTAAGACTAAAAGAAGGAAGGTCTTTGTTTTGTTTTCATTTTTACCGTGAAGACTTTTGGACGTCAACAACGTTGGAAAAGCATCCGACAAAGCGCGTGTGCCCTCCGAATTTCAAGAGTTTTCCACCTCCTGCCGTTCCTCCATTCTTGCTTTATCGCTTCCATACCAACTTCTCGCAATGGGGTATCTTAAAGCAAATTCGGTCATGTCATTACACCTACAAGCACATTTAAATGCATTTATAAGCGCTGAATGAAGGCCGAACATGATAGTGGAACAAGAAGAAAGTAAAAGGAAACAGAGGAAAGAACTAGGAGACAAAGGACATTTCTAGAGGTCTAAATATGGGCACATGCATATGTAGATATATTTACATATAATGATAGGGACACAGATCTATGTACATATATTTATATGTTAAGTATTAAGGTAGCAGACAGACATTGGGCCTCTACTCAAGTCCTCCCTCGACACAAGACCACTTTGTTCTAATAACCCAGCATTCTGTGATGCTCACCTTCCGGACAAGATCTCTTTTTTTTTTTTTAAACATTTTATTAGGGGCTCATACAACTGTCATCGCAATCCATACACACATCAATTGTGTAAAGCGCCTTTGTACATTATTCTCAA